TGCCTCTCCCTGCGCCATCCCCTTGGGGAATGAAGGCGCCTCCCCGTATGTAGAGAGGGTGGTCAGGATATTAATTATGCACCATTCCCTTCCCATGAGGTTCATGTGGATGACGGAGGGTCGAGGGAAACAAGCACACAATGTATTTTGATTACCTCTGTTGCTTTGAAAGAATTCCCACAGATAATCTCCAGTGCATCACACCTTCCCCATCGCCCTGGGAGCCGGCTGCCCTGTGCGGGTGCCCAGTGTGCTCACAGTGCGTTAAAGAAACCCCGGTGCTGATGGGTTCAGTCCCTAAAAACAGAGGCATTAACTTTGAGTCAGGGCCTTGGTGGCGTCTGGGCTGATTGGATTGTTGCTGTGTGGCTCAGTTTACAGAGCGGAGCCCTGCCCCCACAGCTCTGGACCAGCTCCCTCTGAAGGGGCTCTGGTGTATCTCCACAAGAAACCTCCCCAAGGAGCTCTCCTGGGCCAGGGTTCAAACCAACCCAAATCAGACCTTCAGGAAAGAAATTCTATTCTGCACCTCACTCCAGAGACGCAGGGCACGGATAATGGTTCTTCCCCTGGCTGATCTCAAGAGATCAACTTAGAGAGGAAAACAATCTTTCTACTAAAAGGAAAGTATAAGCTCCACATCTGTTATAATTTTGATGTTACTGGGGAGAAGTGTGTCTGCCTCCCTCTACACTAACAAATTCTGTAGGAATGTGAGTCCATTCCTCTGTTTGTGGAGCAGGAGAGGCTCTCATTTCTGCCTTTTCCCTCACAATTCTCCTTAAAATTTTAGCAAATGGAGTTGAAATATCAATTGTGTGAAAAATGAGATGGGCCATTTGGAAAATGTAATTTAAAAATATGCATATGATCAAAGTAATGGGTTAATTTCATTTGTTTTTTTCTTGCTTGCAGATGTCCTGGAAGGTTACAATGGGACAATCTTTGCTTATGGACAGACTTCATCAGGAAAAACGCACACCATGGAGGTAAGATTGCAGCGAGCTGCGATGTCAGGCTCTGAGACTGAACAGAACTTGAGGTGCATGTGGCTTTTTACTGGGCAATAGAGTTGGTTATGGGATGGTTATGTTTAGCCAGTTTATGGTATTTTTAAGAGTTTAAAAATAATGGTGAGTAATAATAAATCAGGAGTTGAGTATTTAAAAAAATTCTTTGTTAATAGCTCTGTCAAAATAATAATAATAATAATAAATTTTATTAAAAATGATCATCAATAGGCTAAACAGTGGTGTGAGTATCCGTATGGGCTGGAGCTCAGTCTAACAGAAAATCTCTTGTGAAAATCATTTACCTGAAGGAGGACCCCTGGGGAGGCGTCTCCTCAGATATATAAAAAACTGTAGGTCAGAGATGAAAAAAGTTAGCTTGTGAACCAGATTCAGCCCACAGACATATTTTTTTTGGCCTGCCCATTGGTTTTTGTTGTTGTTGTTGTTTTGTTTTTTAAATTTTAGGCAGTGTTTAAAATGAAATGATTTCACACAATTTTAAGTGTCCAAATTTGGTTTAAAATTCTGAAGATCTAGCAACACTAGGTAAAATTTCACCCTAATACTAAGGGTGAGCTTCAAAGCAGGGATCTTCATTGTCTTGGTCACCTTTCTATTCACATGTCTAGTGTGTGAAACTAGGAGAGGTTTGATGCAGTATCTGTTAAAATGATACACTTGTGGGGCCCTGGCCGACCCATGTGAATGGGGCTGGGCTCTCTGGTGTACCCCAGCCCACTCCACGCACACCATGAGTATGAACTCATCCTCAGCATCCTTCCTCATTCACTTACACACCTGGCCCCTGTGGGCCCTTGAGGGTGTGACCCCAGCTTGATTGTGAGCCATGGAGCTCTGTGGCTCAGGCTGTCCTCCGGACAGAGCACATCTGCAGACAGACTGGCCCCGGAACCCCTTCTTTCCCTGCGTTCCCCCATCGACTCCTGCAAGGCCTTCAGGGTCAGATCTTTCTTCTGAAGGCCGGGCCCACCTGACCTAGGAGGAGAGGTGGAAGAGTGCTTATTATAAGAAACTGCACTGAAAAACTTGGGGGAATTCAGTTTCTAAGAGGGGTAAGATGAAGCCTTAATCCTTCAAGCTTAGGTTTTTCCATTTATGGTGCCCTCCTGGGAATATCACAGAGACGGCTGCTGCAGAATCAGTTTAGCTTATGAATCATTCCTATTGAAGAGGAGATTTCAAAGGCACAAGGCTAAAATCCTCGGGGCTCTGATGTTCTGCTCACACTGATTTCAAGTGTGGGGTGTGACTCTGGGGATCTCATTTCTGTGGTGTTGACTCACTTTCACCATTTTGCTGGAGACAAAGTGGTTCAGAGGCTGCACAGATGAAAGGAAGCACGAGGCTTGTTGCCACCTCCTCTAGGCAGGGCAGCACTGCCTCCTGACACCGGCCTCCTCCAGCAGCACAGCTTGGCACGCAGGCCCAGGGTCCCTGCTGGTGCCCAGGCCCTCGTCTGCCCCTCGTACTGGGTCCCAGACCCTTACCCTCTGGATTTGAGAAGAGTTGTGGTTATGCATTTTCCAAGTCCCACCCACTCCAGTAGCCCTGGACTGAAGCTCCTTCATAGGTCAGAAGGCATAGGAAAGAGAGAGGGCATCTCCTGAGGATATCAATCAGTCTTAGGGCTTTGGAAAATTACCAAATAATATACGAAACAGCAACAACCTCCCCCAAATGCATTATTTAAAATTCTACAAAATCTTAGAGAATGGTTACAAAAGCAACCTTTTTAGCTTAGGGATTAAGTCATTTTTGGAAAATGCAAGGTGTTCGCTAAATATCAGATATTTAAATTGTAAACCAGGGAAGGAAAGACCTGACTCCAGAATAAAATCTGGGTTGTGTTTATGTGTGGGGAGAATAAGTGGGTGCCCAATGCTAGCAAAGAGGTGTGTCAGCAATTTAAAACTAAAATTGGAGGCATTTCGTTAATGAGAGCACCTTCCACCTTCTGTGTTTCATGGCGTGAACCCCACAATGGCTGCAGCAGTGCTGGGGACCCAGAGGGACTCGGGACCAAAAGGGAACTGGGTTCTGTGTAGATCACGCTCATAGCTGCCTAAATCCTGTCGCCCTTCTTCCCTTGTGGGTTTTAAAAGGCTGATTGCATTTGAGTGCGACTTTTGTAAATCACATCCTCATGCCTACGGGAGGAAGGAGTGGGGGACGTGAGGCCTTTCCTAGTGCCTTCGCCCCCATTTAATCTGGTTCTTTCTGGGGGGTGATTATAATTGGAGAAAAGGTAGGGGATATTTTAGAGGAAAAGGAGGAGTCCCAAGCTAAAGTCGTAGTGACTGCAGGAGACCAAGAAATCCAGGACCCTGGGATGCAATTAAATTTAAAGAAACCCTGTGGGGTTTGCACCACCTGAAAGGAGCCATGTTACTCATTCGGAGTGACACATTGTGATCCTTCAGAGGCTGTGAGAGGGGAAGTTAACTCCCTGAATGGACGGAGCTGTCACATTTTAAAGCTGTTTTCATTTTAATCCCCCCATTTTTGTTCTGGCATCCAGTGGTGATTCCATTACCTTCTATTGAGGGGAACAAACAGATAAGCCTACATAAAATTGAAAAGATTAGCTTTTGAAGATGGAGCCATTTAAGGTGGATTTTCAGTAAAAATATGAAACCCTTGACAGTGCTGGTGCTGAGCTGCACAGCCCGGGCTGGGGGGCCTGCGCTGGAGGCGGTGCTGCGGGTGCTGGCTGAGTGGGAGGAGAGCGCTGCCTGTTGTTCAGCCTGTTGCTCAGCCTTACCTCGCGGCCGTCAGCGCGCTGACATGGATGGATGGGTGGAGACACTGGTGTTTTTCCGTCTGCCCAAAGGGACACCTGGAGGCCGTCGAATGGGTACAGGCTGCCCTGCTGCCGAGAGAGCCTGCCAAGTGGTTTTAATGAGCCTGTCTGAGTGCATTGCGCTGAGGGTTGCCTGCTTTCCCATCTTAAGTGTTTCAGGAAACGTCCTCCTTGGGAGGCCGAGGAGGCCACGGGGCTGGAACAAAGGGAGTGTTGTTTTGTGGCCCCAGGCCTGGGTCTGGTTTCTTTTTTCATACTTGCTCCTAGAAGGCCATACTTAGAAGCGGGGAACGCTTTTGAAGAAGATTATACAGGATCAAATATTTTAAAAAATGTTTTTTGCTCTCTCGGAGAGGTGCGATGATGAAGTGGTACATTTCTTTGCTATTAAAGTCCATCCCTGATCTTCCAGCCAATGAGACTTGTTCTCTAAATGGGCATCATATTTTCTCGGTTCCTGTACCTTTGCTATGTTATTCCCACCTCATCTTCTCTGCCTGCATGCTCTCTGCCCGCCCCTAATCTTGCTCGTCCCCCAGGAGTCAGTTCCTCAAGGAAGCCATCCCATACCTCCCCACCTGAAGGAACTTTCTCTTCTCTGGCAGCTGTCTGCTTCTTTACCACCTTTGATTGCCTGAGGTTAATATTTGTGGTATGTGTACATATGTATTTCATTTGCAAGATAATTAGCCTAGAAGCAGTGAAGGTCTTCTTAATGGAACACCTCTGTCTCATACCACCCCCCTCCCCCAACACACACACACCATCACCCCACACCACACATATCAACCAACACATGTACACACCACTCACACCCAGACTCTGCATACACACACAGTCCATACCACACATATACACCACACACTCAACACTTTACAAATCAATACACGCTCCCCTGCCACCCTTCCCACCACCCCACACACAGATTGTTTGAGCAGGCTCAGTCCACTATCATAAAGGCCCCCACCACACTTGGGCTTATGAGCTAGATCAGGCATCCCAGTTCTTAAGCTTGTAGTAGATTGGGGATCACTCTGTCTCCAAATGAACATGTGCTGCCCTCTCATGTGATGTTGGGGTGGAGGCTTCAGGGAAACAAAATGGGGAACGTCCCAGACATACCGCTGGTTCTGCCTGGGTTCTTTCCCTGACAAAGGCAAGCAAAGGATGTCAGTACTGTATTAACGAGGAATCAATTGGAAGATGAATCTGTTGCAAGGGAAAGTGTCTAGGGAAACAGATTCGTGTCCATTATAGATGATATTTGGATTATCCATCATTCTTCTTTGGTTGTGGATACTGAGGAGAAGCTAAAGGATTGTGATGAATTATTAAAGAGCTCTGGAGAGAATGGGGGTTGGAGAGCTTTTAGACTCAGAGTCAAGACTGGCCCCATGGTGTGACAGTGTTTGACAGGAGAGATCTGTGTTTTCACCACAGGTGTCATTTCTGCCACTGCTTCCACGGTTCCGGCCAAATGAGGTCCAGTATTGATTTGTTACATGTTTATGCAAATTAAAGTGACCAACATTTGAGCCGCTCAGTCTCTGTCATTTGATGTTGTTTCATAAGATACATATTAATGGTGTGGGGTAGAAATATGTTTCAGACCTCAGGTCAAATAAACTCCAGCAACTGCTTAATGAGAGCCTGTTATGAACTGGATAATAGAATGCTAACATTTATTGTCACTGAGCACATTATATATAACTGTTGCATTTCAATTCCACAGTAATTCTTTGCAGTGGATACTGTCCCAAGTATCATAAGCAGTGGGGGTAAGCGCGTATGCATGGGTCACCTCTGCCTTTAGGGAGTGTACAAACTAAAAAGCAATCTAAACACATCAAATGATTTAAAATCTTAGCAGATGAGACATTCCAAGGAGTGCCCAATTTCCCAGGTAGGAGAGCTTTGCCAGAGACCAGAACCAGTGCCAGAGACCAGAACCAGTGCCGGGCCACATGACTTCTTGCTTTTGGTAACTCAGCTGTTGGCTTGGAAGTCATCCTGTCAGCCAGGCACCATAGGGCGAACCCCTGAAGGAAATAGAGGATTTGATTGAGAAAAACAAAGCAGATTTTCCAGGTATTGGGCAGATTTGGAACAAGGATATGAGTCAAGATTGTAAAGGTTCTGAGGCTTCCCTGCAAAACTAAAGAGCACACTGGGTTTTGTGCTTGTCTTCCAGGTCCATTTGTTCCTAGAGTTTTAAAACTTTCACGGGGCCTGAAAAAATTCTCTGGGAATATAGTTGGCAGTGACCACTTAGATTGCAGGCTATTTGTGCACTGAAGGCTTGTTTAACATGTAAGGGAACGTGAGTATTCATTTCAGTGTGGGCATAAATCAAACTCTCTGGGCTCTGGCCGGTGGCTCACCAAAAGGTTGTGGGTTTGATTCCCTGTCAGGGCACATACCTGGTTTGCGAATTCATTCCCTTTGGGGCATACACAGGATCGATATTTCTTTCTCACATTGATGTCTCTCTCTCTCTCTGTCAAATCAATGAACTTTTCCTTGGGTGAGGATAAAGATCAATCAATCAACCTCTCTGGGAATTGTCCACCCAGGTCCTTGCTAAGGCTGTTCTTTAAATACTTGAGAACTCTTCTTTAGGAATTGCTTTCATATCCTACTAGTATCTTTTTGAAAGTCTGGATCTTAAAAATGGATTTAGTGATAGTTCACATAGCAGAAGAATCCATCTATTCCTCTACCCCTTAGATAAAATGAATAGAATTAGAAAAAAAGAGGTAAAGAATAAGAGAATATTTCACATTTGGATTTATGGATTAGAAACAGCCAAATATTATTTGAAACAATTCAGGCTGGGAATTACAGATTTTAAAAAAGAAATTAATAAAATGGATTTTCTTGATTAGATTGTAAAGTGATGAAGGTATTTTCTAACAAGGTTCTTAGGGATTTTTAAATAATGACGATATTGATAAATCTGTCAGCTCTCAAGGTGACTGCATTAAAGCAGGTTAACTTGGGTTTGTAGGTTCTGGTCAGGTTGTGAAAATTCAAAAACAAAACCCACGTTTCAGTATGTTACAGTCACCCATATATTCTCAGCCCTCCTCCTTCCTTCTCTTCCTCCTTCCTACCCACCGACTCACATGCACGCTGATTTGAGTGGCAGCAGGAAGGAACACTGTGGGGCTTCACAGCCTCACAACCTCACAGAACAAGCTGTCCTCTGCTGGGAAGGAAAACCGACACATGGAGTTATTGGGCTAACTTTAGGTGAGCTGGCATGTTAGGTGGCTCCCGGGGAGTGGTCAGTCCCTGCGTGGGTGCTCCTGTTCCACAGAGTTCTGTTTAAGAAACCCAGGCGTGGTCTTTTCTCATCTCACGTGTTTTCCGGCGCTCTAACACCTGTGTTCATGTTTTTCTCCCACTAGGGGAAGCTGCATGACCCTCAGCTCATGGGGATCATCCCAAGGATTGCACACGACATCTTTGACCATATATATTCCATGGATGAAAACCTGGAGTTTCACATCAAGGTAAGTGTCATTGATTGAGACCCGAGAAAATAAACAGGGCCCAAAATTATGTTTCTTAGCTTTCTTCCTATTGTGTACACATGAAAAAGATGGTCTTCTCATTTAAATGAGATTCCTGTGGTAAGCAGAGCCATGTTTTTTATTTAATAATTAAGGTAATGCTTAGCTGTCTGGATGGTTTACTGAGGTAATGAGATAAGTTAAAAGGCCTCTTTTGGATGGAATCACCTTCATAGCTGCCCGACTCCTGCCCTTTGCCCTGTGGGTTTCTACGATGTGATTGGAATGGGTCTACAAAGCGTGTTCTGTGGAACACAGCCCTCTTATTAATCATAGAAATATGAATACTAATGTTTACCAGGGAAAATACTTATGTGGCCATATAGGCTGAGAACATGCTTCATTGCACAGTGTTACATTTATCACATGCTTAGATATTCTATTGTGTAATGCGGTTCTGCAAAGGGGACTTGGAGACTGTTACATTTCCCAACTCGGCTGGGCACGTTTTTCCTCTCTTGCACTAGTGTATTGAGGAGCACACACTGAGAAATGTTGGGGAAGGGAATTCTCTTTCTCTCCCTTGTTTTTTGTTTGTGTGTTTAAACCAGAAGTTATGTTTTTGCTTAAATTCATGTTGGTATTTGGGGTATATTCATTGGCACTTCTTTGTTTGCAAGTGACCGAAAGCCACTTGTTTAAGCAAACAGAGGAAGTGGTTCTAAGATAGAGAACCTGAGAGCAGCCCTGGAGGAGATGGGTTGTGGAAAAGCAAGAAATCCAGGTCCTACCTTTTCTTTTTAACTCAAACAAATTGAGTTATAATTCACATACCATAGCATTCACTCTTTTAAAGTATACAATTTGGTAGTTTTTAGTCTCTTTCCAAAATTGTATAACCATTATCACTATCTAATTCTGGAGCATTTTATAACCCCCCAAAGAAATGCTATACTCATTACAGTCTCTGCATTTCTGCCTTCTTGCTTTCTTTGGTGTGTGTGTGTGTGTGTGTGTGTGTGTGTGCGTGTGTGGGGGGGGGGGGGGAGGAGGTACACCATGGCAGCCCCTGCTCCACATTTCCTTATTGCTAATTCCCAGTTCCCCAGGAAGCTGGCTCACTGGCCCAGCCTGCAGTAGGTGATCCCCCAGCTCCAATTAGCTGTGTCCAGGATGCACATGGCTGACTGGCCCCCACCATGGTGACTGGGCAGAGTGGACAGGAGTGGGCAGTTCTAAGAAGATGTGAAGCTGAGCAGATCAGTCAAGAGGCTCATCATCCTTGAAAGCTGAGACCTTATTCCACTAGTCCCACCATTTTAGGGTCGAGGAGACGGAAGTTCAGAGCAGTAGATCCAGAAGTCCAAAGTCACATATCAAGTCATTGGCAGAGTTGAGATTAAGCTCTTGATCTGACCAGCACATGCAGTAACTTTTTCATTATATTAAAATTCTACCCTTTTTATTTCTGCCAAGTACCTTTCATAAATTATGTAAAAACAAGGCAATGGCTGCCCAATTATAAATTGCATCTGGCAAATCTTTTTCCTTATAGTTCCCTTTGTTGGCTAAAGCAGCTTCTTGCCAGGGTTCTTTATATCTAAGGACACAGAAGCTTGTTGCTTTGATGGGATCAAGATTTAGGAGCTTAGTGCATCTTTAAGGCTGTTTGCATTTAAATACCTCCAACTACTGTGGGGTTCTTAAGGGATAATCCTGGAATAAGATGTTAAACCAATTACTGCCCTCAAAATAGGGTCTCCCATTAGAATTTTATTAAGATAAAAACAGCCCCAGCTTGAAGTGGGGGAGGAGAGGAGGAACAACATCCAAGTCTCTAGGGCTGAATTTGACTGCCCAGGTTCCTGTTCTCTGTTTTAGTTATGCTTACTTATTTCATAAATAAAAGTTAGCTATGGAATACTCCATATTTTGGACTGAGTAGTGAGAGGCCTAATCAAGAAAAAGGGGCTTGATTAAGGCAATATTAAAAATCTGTTCCTTAAGGTAGGTCCCACAGTGGTTTTAAACATTTCTGATTATGCGTTTCCTTAATGCCAAACAATGCCTATTTATTTTTCTTTTACCTGGCCTCACAAAGTATTTGAAGTGACAAAATTGGCAAAATTAAAAGTGGTCATTACCTGTTGTGGTAAAAAGAAATGAATAACTCAGATTCTCTTTCTACTTATGTTAAATGTAGGCAGAGTTCTAATAGCCAGATTTGCTAATATCTAGTTCAAACTGCATTTTAGAGGTACTCAATTTTATCTATACTAGTAATCTATGGAAATAAGGGCACATGTTTAAGATCTCAAAGATACCAAAAAATGTCTTATTGAAAATCAGAGAATTCTGGAATACATAGAATGGATTGGAGTTAGTTGCATTACGGGCTGGGTTAGGGAGAGATATTTAAGATTAGAAGCCACAGGCCTATAGGATCCCAGGAACAGGAGCAGTGGGTCTTTCAAAGGTCAGGTAGATGTATCCATAGCAGACACAGCTCAGTAATGAGAGTTTGACAGACATCTGAGCAGGCAGAGATTGTTAAGGAGACAGACAACCTGGAGAGGATGCTCAGATAGAGATTTCAGGGTTTGAAGTTGGGACCCCAGATCTCAGAGATACTAGGAAGTCATGAGATGCAGATGAAAGATAATGAACCATTGCCAGGTAACAAAGTCTTTGCTTGTTGCCTGACTAGAGGCAAGACTGGTCCAGAGCTGGGATGTGGAGGTGAGATTTCATCTGTAGAATCACATCCCAATTTCACAACTATTTTTTTCAACTTTATTTTTTAAAATAATTTAAAAAAATCTTTATTGTTGAAAGTTTGACATATATCTCCTTTTCCCCCATTGACCTCTCCCCACCCGCTCCTGCCCCCCAACACATGCCCCCACTCTCCTATTGTCTGTGTCCATTGGTCATGCTCATATGCATGGTTTAAAATAATTTTTGTCCATTCCTTTGTTTAGATTTCCAAAAATACCCATGAACATAAAAGAGGACATTTGGCCTGGGAGGCAGAAGGCACGTGTAGGCAGAATGGAAAATCCTAGAGCAGTGGTTCTCAACCTTGGCTGCACATTAGAATCACCTGGGAATCTTTTCAAAATCCTGATTCCTGGGCCTCATCCTCTGGAAATTCTGTTTCTTTGTTACTAATGTTGTGGCCTCACCCCATAACAAAGAAACAGAATTTCCGGAGGATGAGGCCCAGAAATCAGGATTTTGAAAAGATTCCCAGGTGATTCTAATGTGCAGCCAAGGTTGAGAACCACTGTCCTAGAGGGACTTTTTGAAATCACCAAGTCTAATGGCTTCATTTAATAGATGGGAAAATTGAGGCCTAGGATCTTGGTTACATGTGAATTAAATTTTCAAGATCACATCTTGTTCTCAGACGTTAGCCATCGTATGAACAACCTGGGGAGTTGAGAAGCTGATTCCTGGGTCCTATTCTTTGAAAGTCGGCTCCAGGAGGACTGCAGTAGGATTGAGGCCTTTGCAATGTAAACAAATGCTATGGGAGATGCTGATGTAGGTGGTGCTGGAGCTGTAATTAATTTGAGAGTAATTAATTGGAAGGCTTTCTTTCCCTCTTACAGGCTAGTTGTCTTTCATTAAATCAGATTTGGTTCAAATACTTCCTGGACTCCCTAAACCTGCCACCATCATGATTTCACTCCCAGTTACTTTTATGAGCTCTTACAGCTCTAAGTAAACTGCATTTACCACCCTCCCCACCTCCTTGAATGTTTCGGTCATGCTCCCACCCTAGTCAGATGAGGCTGTCAATATCAGTCATAGGCTAAGGCCTACTGATTTTTGGCCATTACTTGCAAAGTATGTTTTCTATTCCAGCTGTTGTCATCTCCAGAAGTTTGCTTAGTGCTCATCTAAAGTAAAAGCTAGAGTCCTCCTGTAAGTGGCTGTCTAGCACATGATGTAAATAACACCTGGCTCGAACCATAGGGAGCTGTGATGAGCGGGGATGGCGAGTGGCCACACTGAGCTGGGACTCCTAAAGCAAGGTGGCAAAGCGGGAAGCAGGGCATACAGGAGAGAGGGCCGTTGCTCCACATGCTGTGGCTCTGAATCTTCACTCTGGACCCCTTCCTACTCTTCTTAGCTGATGCATGAAAAAAGCTTTTGCAAGTTCTAATAATGATATTTTTGTAATATAGGGTGGCATTTCTATTTCAAACTTAATTTGCTTTTAACAGGTTTCCTATTTTGAGATCTACTTGGACAAAATCAGGGACTTACTCGACGGTAAGTAACCCAAATGCTTGTCCTTTATTTGTTCTGTAACTAAAATGTAAGGAGGTTGAACTGATGCATAGCATTTCTGCTTAAGGAATTAATGAAAGTGTATTAGAGGTGTTCTCTTGCTTTCAGACTGTCTGCTTATTCTCATCCAAGGCTTAAACTTTTTCATTTATATTGCAAAGAGATAGGCTTGCCTATCTTTTGTAACAATTTCTGTTTTTCCACCAATACAGGGTCTTTAACTTTTCTTTTCTTCTTTGCATGTCATCATTATTATCTCTATAGTATCCAAGACAAACTTGGCTGTTCATGAAGATAAAAACAGAGTCCCATATGTAAAGGTATGAGGAAAACTTGATTAATGTGCAATTAATTTATCTCCAGTCACTGTCATAATAATCAGTACATGAGATGCCCAGAATATTACATATATAAAGCACATACAGCTATTTAATCATGTTTCTTACATTTAAAATTCACCTGGTTAAAAAATAGACATTTAATATCTTCAATCATATCTCTCTATGTGAATGTATCACAGATGTCTAATCCCATGCTGAGAATTGCAGGGTGAACAAACATTTATTATTTACATTTAAAAGGGCTTTGGTATTGAGTATAGTTGTTTATACTTTGCTGTTAAGGGAAGCCTATTATAGCATTATGTAGCACTTCAAAGTGTTTAATTAAAGTTGGGGCTAAAGATGGAAGACAAAGCAAAAGTTCATCTATTTCTTTTTCTGTCATTGATTTTCTTCTTTATTTCTGTCTTCTCTGCTGTTGAGTTTGAATATGTACTCAGAAATCTAGGGAAATTCGGCTTCTTTTCTAGTTTATTTCTGAGTTTCCTAGGGGTTGCTCAGCCTTCTTTTTAAATGTAGAATTCAACCCTTAGGCAAGGGGAGGAAAGTTGTTGGATCAGCCTGGCAGCCCTTCTCTTTCTCTGCACATCTCGAGGAGAAATGGGAATATATTTAGCTGTCTCAAGTATTGTTACTTTTCAGTATTTTAACAGTGAGCCTGAACTGATTGTCTTGCAGGGATGCACTGAGCGGTTTGTATCCAGCCCCGAGGAAGTCATGGATGTGATAGATGAAGGCAAAGCAAACCGACACGTGGCTGTAACAAGTAAGCATGGTGTGGTGTTTCCTCCCCTCTCTCTTTGGATACAAATGTTTGCCTACCCACCAGGAGGTCCATTTGAAATAAAGGCAGTTGAAAGCAGTGACTGAGATGAAAACACAGGGAAGTGCAGTGTATCTAGGCAGGCTGTGGGAAACAGCGCCTCCTGCTGTCCAGGGTACTCTTGGCACTATTGGGTGGGACTCATTGGAACCTGGCAACAGCCTAAGCCTGAACCCTGGGGCAACCAACCAACCAACCAACCAACCAACTAACCAACTTACCAACCAAAGTGGGGGAAAAGTAAACTTCTAAGTTTACTTATTTTAGCTATGTTATTGTTCAGGTATTTTTTAAAAATCCAAACTGACAAATTCTACAGGCATACACATGGGAAGAAACCATATTAGAGTCCTGCCCTCTGTATAAAAGGAAAAGGAAGGAGGATCTCAGAAAGTGGAGAGCATTATTGAAACCTTTTCGATGCCGTGTTAATCACACATTCAGGCCAGCTTGGTTACTTGTCCTTTCCTTCCTTGCATGTGCACACACACATCAGGGAAGCAGGTCTACAGTGTTTGATGGCAGAGGTTCCATGAAAAATGGGGGCTGTCCATCTTACTCAGAGGGCTATGGATGAATGAGAGTGACTTCCTATGAAGACGAGCTGAGAGAGCTAAGGCTTTCTAGCTTAGAAGAGAGAAGTAAATCTGGGGAGGACTATGGGCAGTGCACTATTTTTAACATATGTAAAGGACTGATATTAGGAGACAGTCAACTTGCTTTGTTTGATCAGCCTGGCAGGACTGTTGAAGCTACAGGTGGCAGGTTTTGGCCTAGCTACCACAGGAACTCTAACCCTGCCCCAGATAAAGCCTGCCATCTGGAGAAGGTGTGAGTTCCTGTATAGGTAGAAGAGAGACAGATATTGACTGATCTAGCCTCTGTAAGTCTCTCCCACCAAAGGTTCTATTATTCTGTGATCCAGCCCTGTAATTCTTTACCTATTCTCTACCCCAACAAACATATCAGGTGTTATTCATATATGTGGCAAATTTCATAGGGGAGCCTAGAATTGTGTACTTCTTTCTCTTCTGCTTACACACACACACCCCAACACTGATACACATACTAGTACATGAAAGAATGTAAGACTCATATTCTTATGGTAATAGCATCACTCATTTTTAAAGAAATTACTCACTTGGTTTCTTAAGCTATTGTTAGTCATGAATTATTCATGACAAGCCATGTTGGCCCCTTGGTTCAGAACTTTTGGTCCAGAACATTACTATTTTTCTTTTCTTTTTTTAAAAATATATTTTATTGATTTTTTACAGAGAGGAAGGGAGAGAGAGAGTCAGAAACATCGATGAGAGAGAAACATCGATCAGCTGCCTCTTGCACACTCCCCACTGGGGACGTGCCCGCAACCAAGGTACATGCTCTTGACCAGAATCGAACCTGGGACCCTTGAGTCCACAGGCCGACGCTCTATCCACTGAGCCAAACCGGTTAGGGCACTATTTTTCTTATCATTCTGGTAAAGTGGTTTTTAAAATTATTGTGACAAAATAAACAACATAGAATTTACCATTTTAACCATTTTAAATGTATGGTGGCAGTAAGTACATTCACAGTGTTGTGCAGCCATCACCACTATTGACAGAATTTTGGAGCTCCATATGCCCATTATTATTATTGAATAATAACTCCCTGCACTTTCTCTTCCCAACCCCTGGTAACAACCATTCTATTTTCTGTCTCAATGAATTTGACAACGAGGCACCTCATATAAGTGGAATGATACAAGTTCTTTTATGACTTGCTTATTTCACTTAGCGTAATGTCTTCAAGATTCATTTATGTTGTGTCATGTTGGAATTTGTTCTTTTTAAGGCTGAATAACATTGCACTGCATGTATATACCACACTTTGTCTATCTGTTCATCCATAGATGGATACTTGTGTTGTTTCCATCTTTTGGCTACTGTGAATAGTGCTCCTTTGAACATGGATGTATAAGTACCTGTCCAAGTTTCTGCTTTCCGTTCTTTTGGGTATAAACCCAGAAGTGGAATTGCTGAATCATATGGTAATTCTATTGTTAAGGTTTTAAGAAACTGCCATACTGTTTCCTATAGCAGCTGCATCATTTGCATTCATATCAACATACACAAGAGTTTCAGTTTCTCCACATCCTTGGTAACACTTATTATTTTCTGTTTTTGTTTGTTTTTGGTTTGCTTTAGTAGCCATCCTAATGGATGTGAAATGGTATCTCATTGTGGTGTTGATTAGTGATGTTGAGCATTTTTTCATTTGGTTACTGGCCATTTGTACATGTTTGGAGAAATGTTTATTCAAGTCCTTTGCCCATTTTAAATTGGGTTATTTTGTTGTTGTTGATCTGTAGGAGTTTTTCATACATTGTGAATATCAATCCCTTATCAGATATATGATTGACAAGTATTTTTTCTCATTCTGTGAGTTGCCTTTTTACTCTGTTGATAATGTCCTTTGATGCATAAAAGTTTTGTTTTTTTTAAAATATATTTTTATTGATTTCAGAGAAGAAGGGAGAGCGGGAGAGAGAGATAGAAACATCAATCACTGATCGACTGCCTCCTGCACGCCCCCTATGGGGGATTGAGCCCGGCACCCAGGCACGTGCCCTTCACTAGAATCGAACCCAGGACCCTTTAGTCCACAGGCCCATGCTCCATCCACTGAGCCAAACCAGCTAGCGATGCATAAAAGTTTTTAATTTTGATGAAGTCCAATTTATTTTTTCTCTAGTTGCTTGCGTTTTGTTGTCAAACCCAAGAAATTATTGCCTATCCAGTGTCATGAAGCGTTCCTCCTATGTTTTCTTCTAAGGGTTTATAGTTTTAGCTTTTACATTTGGGTCCTTGATCCTTTTTGACTTAATTTTTTGTATGACCTAAGGTAAGAGTCCAACTTCATTTTTTTTTTTTTTTTGCATATGGATATCCAGTTTTCCAAGCACCATTTGGTAACGAGATTGTACTTTCCCCATTGAATGATCTTGACACTCTTGTTGAAAATTATTTGACCGTATTATGTGAGGGTTTATTTCTGGGCTTTCTGTTGCATTGGTTCATATGCCTGTCTTTATGCCAGTACCATACTGTTTTGATTATTGTAGTTTTGTAGTAAATTTTGAAATCAGTAAGTGAGAGACCTCCAACTTTGTTCCTTTTCAAGATTGTTTTGGCTCTTTGGGATACCTTGAGATTCCATATGAATTAGGATGGACCTTTCTATTTCTATAAAAAGCATCATTGATCCCAACTGGCGTGGCTCAGTGGTTGAGCATTGTCCTAGAAACCAAGAGGTCATGGTTTGATTTCTGGGGGTGTGCAGGAGGCAGCTGATCACTGATTCTCTTTCATCCCTGATGTTTCTATCTCTCTCTTCCTCTCCTTTCCTCTCTGAAATCAACAAAAATATATTTATATAAAAAAGAAAAGCATCATTGAGATTTTGATAGAGATTACATTGAATCTGAAGATCACTTTTGATAGTATTGACAGCTTAATATTAAATCTTCTAAGCCAAGAACACAAATGTCTTGATTTTTTGTCTTCTTTAATTTCTTTTAGCAACATTTTGTAGTTTTCAGTGTACAGGTCTTTTGCTTCCTTGGTTGTTTATTCCTAAGTATCTTTTTTATTGCTATTTTAAATAGAATTGTTTTCTTAATGTCTTTTTTGGAATGTTCATTGTTAGCATGTAGAAATGCAACTTACTTTTATGTGTTGCTTTTGTATCCTGCTAGTTTGTTGAATTTATTCTAACATTTCTTTGTGTGTGGAATCTTCAGGGTTTTTTCCCATATAATGTGGTGAGGTGGTTTTAAGAAATGATTGTGAGTAGGGGTTGAATAAGACAGTCACTGGGGTCTCTGCTTGCCTGGTGAACAAAGACCAGGGAACAAAAAGATTTTTATTTCCAGTACTCAATCCTAATGCAGCATATTTAATCTTTGCACCTAGCATGGGTTATAGAAGAAGTGTATGTTTTAATCCATAATGCTTCCTAAAGAAAGTTTATGATACTACTGATAAGGCAACACTAGGCACATGAAGAAGATGGAGTACGTCAGGGACTGATCATGATGATGAAGGCTGAGGGAGTTAGAGTGAGGCAGGGAAGGAGGCTGTGAGCTCCTCCGGCAGCGGGTCAGCTAGTGTGGGTGCTGGAGGCGGGTCTCTCAGCTGGAGCAGAGAATCTGTTATCTTAAACCAGAGGTTCTCAACCTGTGGGTCGCGACCCCTGAAAATACATCCTGCATATCAGGTATTTACATTACGATTCATAACAGTAGCAAAATTACAGTTATGAAGTAGCAACGAAAATAATTTTATGTTTGGGGTCACCACAACATGAGGAACTGTATTAAAGCGTCGTGGCATTAGGAAGGCTGTCCCATCAGCTAAGATTTTAGATTAATTTCTTTGCCACTTAAAGGTATTTAAAATCTTTCCTTTCTGGAATGAGCATTGCTTTTAAGGAGAAATGGTGGTCTCAGATCATTTTTAAAATTGGCTTGACTTTAAGAAATGGAGCTATTAGATGACTTGTTGTGCTTTTCAGATGAGTGGCTGGCTACCTAAATGTATGTGTTCTTTGTAGAGCAGTAACTGTTTTCCTTTTTAGACATGAACGAACACAGCTCTAGAAGTCACAGTATCTTCCTGATTAATATTAAACAAGAGAATGTAGAGACCGAGAAAAAACTCAGTGGGAAGCTTTATCTGGTTGATTTGGCCGGGAGCGAAAAGGTAATTGGTTCTTTATTTGTATTAGCTATAATTTCCCCCTGTTACTTGCTTCACTGTGCAATGGTATAATTTTTATGCCTTTCTATTTCCTGGCTTTAAAGAGCTTTTAAAGTTTCTGATGTTGTGCCAAGATGTGATTAAATTTAACCTTTGCTTCCCCGCTCCTCTTTCCCGGTCCTGAAGTCCCTGTTCACGCCGCGGGGTGCTTTGAATGCCAGCTCTGACTTATGCCTAATGGGCTCTGAAGATGACATTGGGCAAGTGTTGGGGTGAACTTAGCTTGGCAGTGAGCATTTGCAAATCTGCCTTTGCCAAGCCCTTCTGAGAAAAGGGAAGAGCTCCACGTTGTTCCAGACGCAAATAGGCCAGGGAAGGGCATTGCGTTGGAATGTGGCGGCCCTGCCTCGGCAGGTGTGTTGCTGATGGAAGATCGGGAACCTGGGCTGCCTCTTCCCGGCTTCTCTCTGCAGCGTGTGGAACAGCGCCTCGCGTGGCAGCCTCACTTCTTCCTTCAGGCTATGGGGCTACGAGCCGCAGCCCTTCTCTGGTTTTGTCAGGGCTCTTTTTGGCATCTGTATCCTGTCCCATGCTCTCCCCGGCCCTGGCTGAGGCCATACTTCAGACTGAATAAGCTTCCAGAACCTTCTACCTGCCCCGACCAGCCTCACTTCCATGGCAGCTCCAGACGCTCCTGCTGCCACACCCTGGCTTGTGAATAGACTGTATTGTTTGTGGCCCATCAGCTGTATTAGTTCTCTATCTGTAAGCAAGGGTACCCCCACACACAATTCCCAGAGAGATGAGAATCTATCCTATTTGAAAAAATCTACCCCTGGACATGCATTCATTCATCTCTGTTGTTAGGAGTTTCTCCTTTATACATAATTGAAACCCCAGGGGGACACTATGTGGCCTGTCCATCATCACTGCCATGTGCTGACTGTCCCCAATCAGGGCTCACCTTGGAGCTGTCAGTCTCCTGGACTGTGTCATTGATCCCCACTTAACTGCACCCCACTGCTGAGGGGCCGGACGCCACCTTATGGCCACTAATACCCCCCTAAGTGATGGCTACTCGTGTTGTTCTCATGTCTGCCTTTGTGAAGCCATGAGCAGAAAATCACCTGGATATTCCTGGTTGGAAATCTAAAATTTTACTGGCATGGGTTCGTACCTTTAAACAGGCGCACCAGAACGGGGATGCAGAGCAGCATTGCTTAGTTCCGAACTAACCATTGGCAGCCAGGCTCCACTTTGCTGCCACACCCACTGTACGGGTCCCCACATGGAGTCCAGTCAGCCTTCACTCTTCACAAGCGTGTCCTCCCCCTTTGGAGCACAGGGACGAGCACTTAGGGCCCAAGCACTGTCCTCTGCACAGGGTGGTGGTTCTTGCTCATCATGATACTTACGAGACATTTGAGAGCTGTGGTCCCACGCCCTTTCTCCTGCTCACACGTGTTTTCCTTTGCCCTCGATGCATCTACACGGATGTGTCAGTGTGATCTAGGAGAACAGAACTCCGAGCTTTAGTCCCCGATTCCTCTAAGTGGTGTTCTTCCCTTAGGCTGGCAATTGGGCATCCCCGGAACGTAAATTTTTCTTGTCTGGAAGAGGAAGGAGTTGTACCTGTCTTGCATATTTCATGGAGTTAAGACGCTCCGATATGAAAGCGTGTTAAACAACTCATGTGAATAGACTGTATTGTTTGTGGCCCATCAGCTGTATTAGTTCTCTATCTGTAAGCAGGGGTACCCCCACACACAATTCCCAGAGAGATGAGAATCTATCCTATTTGAAAAAATCTACCCCTGGACATGCATTCATTCATCTCTGTTGTTAGGAGTTTCTCCTTTATACATAATTGAAACCCGTCTCTGTGCAGTTAAAAATCACTTCCCCACTTTTCTTTCTGTAGACAGCAGCTGCTGACCTGGCATCGTCCGTCCAGTCAGCAGAGCTATGAATCATGTTGAGTTCCCCTTTTTTCTAGCATCTGTGAACTGCTCTCTCCCAACAGCAAATACTATAAATACTAAATTACCAACAATAACAGCAGAGGAAGAACGGTGTGTGCTCCCTCTGGCTGCAGAGGAAAAAAGACAACTTCTCGATGTAATATACATTTTCTTGACTTTTCATGCCTAAACTAAAAATGTTGATGACACAGTAGCCATTTTTGTAAAGAGCTCTAGTTGAGTGTTTCGAAGATGCTGACTGTTTTCAAGGCCACCGGAGGGTTTGGAAGGCGGGATACATATTGCCTGGGGGTTTGTCCTCTGTGCTTGTCCCTCTTCCTGGTCTCGCATGGCCCAGGTATCACGCTGCCCCAGCCAGTGTATGCCATCCAAGTGCAATAATACGAGCTGCACCTTTTTTTGGACTTCTGCTGGCCTGTTTTAATTCCTGTATGCAAATGTGATTTTTCAGAAGTTGATTTTAAACTCTTCTAATGCTCTTCATCTAAACTATTCTAATTAAAGTTGTGTTAATGACTAAAAAATAGTGTTTTTCCTTATTTTAAAATTTTATTGATTTTTTTTTTAGAGAGAGGAAGGGGGAGAGAGAGAGAGTGAAAAGGAGAGAGAGAAACATCAATGTGAGAGAGACACACCAGTCGGTTGTCTCTTGCACATATCCTGACCAGGGACACAACCCACAACCTGGGTATGTGTCCTGACCGGGAATCGAACCTGCCACCTTTTGGTGTATGGGAGGACTCTCCAACCAACTGAGCCACACTGGCCAGGGCAGTTATTTTTTCTTTTGGATAATTGTATCTTTTTTCCTTGCCATGGTTCAGTGAGGAAGGAACAGAGAGAGTATGGACAGCCATCCACACCACCCCTTGTCCTTTGCCTGGAGTTGGAGCTCATGGTTTACACGTTCCCAACATGTCCTTTCACTGTGGCCCAGACAGCGTTTGCTCCTCCAGCTCCCCCCGGAGTGGAGGCTGCGGCCCAGTGTCCCAGGGCCAGGCCTTTTCCCAGTGATAGCACTTTCGGGCCTGCTTTTCCTGGATGATGTCCCCGGGGAAGCATCCGCAGCTCCACCACTGGAGGCTTTCCAGCTGTTCCCCTAAAGCTAATCGAGAGGAAAATGACAAGCGAGAGAGCAAATCCCCCGCCTCTGGCACAAGGGAAGGTTTTATCAGTGTGATCCTTACTTACTTCTCCTTCTCCTTGTCTTTCAGGAGCCAGGAGGATTCACCGCCCCCACCTGCCCCACTTGCCCTCCTGTGAATTGAAATTTTCGACTGCTTTGCTGTCCTGTGCAGCTCACTGCTCTCTCTTTCCTAGGTCAGCAAAACTGGTGCCGAGGGAGCCGTTCTCGACGAAGCTAAAAATATCAATAAGTCTTTGTCTGCTCTTGGAAACGTGATCTCTGCCTTGGCAGAAGGGACAGTAAGTGATCCTGGCCCCATCTATTAAATGATATTATGAGAAGTCGCCTTTTTGGGTCCGTGTGCTCTTTGCCACACACTCCAGAGATTTGCTTGTTTTGGTTTGGAAGGGCCGGAGGGAATCTTGGTGGTGGGCACCTTGCTTGCTGGGGGATCTGGTCCATTAAAACGTGTGAATGGAAATGCTAATTTCCCAGAATGGGCACGCTAAACTTTGGCAAGATCCAAAGACCCAGCAACAAATTCTTATTTCACACGTGTTTCTAAGCTCAGTGTCCTCAAAACTAACTTGCTTGCCTCTGTGTTTTTTCTTTGAATGGGCTGTCACAACCAATGCTTTTTCTTTTCCTAAATAGAAAACACACGTGCCGTATCGGGACAGCAAGATGACTCGGATTCTTCAGGACTCTCTGGGTGGGAACTGTAGAACTACTATTGTTATTTGCTGTTCTCCTTCTGTCTTCAATGAAGCTGAGACCAAATCTACATTGATGTTTGGACAAAGGTGGGTGTGGTCTCGCTACTCATGCTGGGAGCTGGGTCATAGGAGTGGCAAGGGGCTAGTGTTGGACAGGAAATAGAGTGAAGGGGACAGGTAGCTTGTTACTAAATTGCATCTAACAGGTGATCTGTGAACTTGAGGCATCACTTATTGAAGCCAAAGGCATAATCATGTTTTAAAATAATGGGCAGGAATATGCCAGTCAACGGTATGATGTTAAAAAACAACACTCTAACGTACAATAGATGTGATTGTTGGTAATTCAGTGGAGTGTTGCTTTTGTTCTTCTTGGAATTAAGTCTGAATCCCAGGCTCTGGCGGGCAGTTCAGTTTGTTAGAGCATCATCCTGATATGCCAAGGTTGTTGTGGTTTGATCTTCAGTAAGGGCACATATAAGAAGCAATCAGTGAATGCATAAATAAGTAGAACAACAAAAATCCCTCTCTCTCTCTCTCTCTCTCTCTCTCTCTCCCTCTCTCCCTCCCTCTCTCCTCCTGCCCCTTTCCCCTCTCTCTCTAAAATCAATAGTAAAAAGAAAAAAAATCTGCCTCTTGGGTTAACAGGTTTTCAAAGGTATACAACTCAAGACTGGTAACCAACTACCTTTAACTCCAATATTTGAAATTCATTGCAGAGGTGCCGATAGCACACCAGAAACTTAGATGAATGTAGAGTAGTTGCATAAGTATTAAAGCGGGGGAAAGGAAGCCTCATACTGACCCTGGGGGCAGGAGGCACAGAATATATGTCGAGGACAGGGCAGAACAGCCACCACCCTCTCACCTTCAACATGTCCACGTGAGATTTCCTAGGTGTCTGGGCAGTGGGAATAGGCAGGCAGCGGAGACACCTCAGTAACCCTGAAACAGCGGTCACGTGTGTGGATTAGTTCATACCATCCTTTCCTTTCTTGCCCCACCCTCCCTCCCCCGTTACCCAAGGCCTAACCTGCAGTCATGGTCCCTCCGTTCTAGGTGTCACCCCCAGCCTGGTGACCTCAGGTGCTAGTTCCCAGAATGCTTGGATGCTATGGGTGTGGGTGATCTGAGCATCTTTAGTGCTCAGTGGGTTGAGCCCGGACCTCCGGTTGGGAGATGTGGATTCCACTGCTGGCATTCCCTTTAATTCGGAACACTTGTGTGATCTTTAGACTAGTGACCAGCTCCCTGTGGGCTTTAGCAGCTTCATTTTCAGATGGATGTACAGAGCACTCCCTCTACCTTGCTCCTGGGAGTATGTTGTTTAGTTATACTCAAGAAATAGTTTAAGATCCCTAGAGACAGCACACATGGGGGTGGGCATTCTGTATGGGAAATTGTGGCTTGTTTAAACTGCATTAAACCCCAGTCATTTCCTGAGCCCTCAACAGAACATAGAATTACACAGTCATGGCACCTGTGGGATGTCTAAATAAATAATAATTACACTGAAATGTTGTAGAACTAATATATCTTTTAAACTGGATTTGGGTCCTTTACTTCCTCTCAGATCACTTCCTTGATTAGCCAAATGCTTAGCTCACTGGATGGCAGAGGATAGCACTTTCTTTTATAAATGAGTGTTTGCTATGGGCAAGGTAGAATGCTATGCTGATCATCCTGCCTGCCCTGCTCCCCCAGCTTCTTAAACTTAAGCTTTAACAGTTTCCTCTGAAGACATGTGTGAGCAAACCAGCACCAACTGCATTTAGAAAGGAAACATCTCTTTAAAAGAAATTTTTACCTGCAAGGCAAAAATCACCTGAACCTTTGCAAGCCAGAGTCCTGCTGGGGCATTGGGCTGTCTCTCAAGGTTGCTGCTGTCAGTGGGCACTTGCAGCTGTCGATAGGAAGAGTTTAAGGAGCAAGTCCAAATGGTTAGTTTCTTTCTTCTGATCTTAGTGAGACAGTCATTATCATAGTCCTCATCACCGGCACTTTTTATTAGGGCCTAGTATTTCCAGGCATGTCAGAATCCTCTTAGAAATTTTAGTAGGTACGAGGACATTGAGGCTGAGGTTCAGAGCCATTAGGTGCGGTACCTGAGGCCACACAGCCGGTAAAGACTAACATGTCAGATATCATAGGGTGGAGACTGTACTATTTGACTCGCAGCCTCTTACACCCAGGGTGCTGATCAGGAGCCTTGATGAGCATGGGCCCCCCGCATCAGTGACTCCAGGTTTGAAGCTAAGTTCTGCTCTGACCCATCCTCTCTCTCTCTCTCTTTCTTTCTCTCTCTCTCTCTCTCTCTCTCTCTCTCTCTCTCTTCTGTGTCAGCCTCGCCTGTAGGAAGAACTGTAATAACACCCACTCCTGAGAATTGTTGGGAGGATTAAATGAGTTGCTTCAGGTTTTACTTAGCACAGGGCTGGCATGTAATTGGCATTCAGTGATCGCAAGTTCCCCTTCCCCTCCGTCTTCAACGGTCTGCGACAACCGGATGCACTGAGGCTTGGGAAAGGCATGGTAATGGACGGGCTAGGACTGTAATGTGACAGACAGGACTGAATGATGTGGAATTAGAATTAAGTTTCCAGAATGAAGGATGAAGTAAATACTGCTGATAATTTGGGATTCCAGGCATGCCAATTATATTTTCAAATGAAATAGGTTGGCCTCTAGTCCTTTGTCAGGCTCATCTGGATACTGAGCTCCACGGGGGCAGGGACTAGGTTTATCATTGACCTCAGTCGTCCCAACAAGAGCCCAGCACCAGTAGCAGACACTAGATCAGTGGTTCTCAACCTTCCGGCCCTTTAAATACAGTTCCTCATGTTGGGACCCAACCATCACATTATTTTCGTTGCTACTTCATAACTGTCATGTTGCTATTGTTAGGAATCGTAATGTAAATATCTGATATGCAGGATGGTCTTAGGCGACCCCTGTGAAAGGGTCGTTCCACCGCCAAAGGGGTCTCAACCCACAGTTTGAGAACCGCTGCACTACATGGTCAATGAATAGGTGCTTATCAAATGAATGAACAGATGAATCTAATGCGGACTGTGTAGGATTCATAGAACATGAGGGCACTAGCTGAACTGTGACACCATTGTGTCCAGAGGTTTGGCTGTGTTTAGGTCTGGTGTGTTTTCCAGCCTATAATTAGAAATGTATGAGGTTTTGTTCCATGCCCTCTATCTCCGAGTTGCTTAATGGATTCTTCAAGGACATCTAACTTCTCTGTGGGGCCACTACCTGCTTTATTGTTAAATATATGCATTGAACCCAATTACACAGCAGACACGAGTCTGAACATCGGATTAGACATGGCATCTGATAACTAATGAGATTAAACACTTTGAACTCAGGAAAGACTGCTGGGCACATCTCAAATTCAGTGTAACGAGTGTTCATTATATTCTTGTTGCAGTGATGGCCAAACCTCAGGGCAGCATGAGATGCCACAGTTATTCCTCCGCAGTCTTTCAAGGACAGGAAGAAAGTCCATGTTTGTTGCTAGGCTATACTATATTGATGCTCTGAATAAAACAATAGTATATCCTTTGAAGCAGTAGGAACATGGTGGAGTCCACAGGGGCTCGAGGGCAGCCTACCACGTCAGCACTCTCCAAGATTCTAGATTAGGTCCTGGAATTTAAAGGGAAAAATTCCCTGTGTCTGTTTCCTGCTTTCAGTGAGGAAGTCTGGCTCTCCTGTATGGTCAGGCCTGTCCCCTTCAGTCCCGGAACGCCCAGCATTGTGTTAGTTAAGCTGTAAAAGCCCTTCTCTGTGTCCTCAAAGAGCTTTGAATTTAGTGGAGGAGGCAACACGTGAATTTCCAGACAGCAGAGCGTCAAAAAGCTGGGCTCTGCGGGAAAGCTGAGCGTTCCTGCCCGAGGGATAGGGCACTCAAATTAGAGCACTCCCATTGATCTTTTATTCTTCTGGCTGCGAACCTTTTATTTTTCAGTCTTTAAATACTCTTCCCAAGTACTTTTATAGCACTATTCGGAAAGGATATTGGTAAGTTTTAGAAGTATGAGCTGAGGGGGAAAAAGGAGACATATGTAGTACTTTAAACAATAAAGAATAATAAAAAAAGAGAAGTGTGCACTGAAATCACCCAATTATCTGGGAAGCCTATTTAATGTACCTTGATTTGGGGTGGTAATGAGGGAAAAGGGAGCCCTGAGGGGACAGGCCAATCAGTTTGGAGAATTAGCACATCTTTGGCACCAAGAGTTTTGATTGATCCAGTATGAATAATTTAAAGGTTTATTTGTATGTGCAGTGTGGAAGAATTGATAATTTAGGGGAAGTAATATTCTTTCTTCTTTTCCTGATGTGCTCTTTGTTTTTAATTGCATGCTCAGTTTAGTGGCAGCTGGACCAGGCAGAGCCAAAGCCTGAGTGGGGTGCATGCAAAATTCATGTCACCAGAGTTCAATAGCAGGCTCTCTGCTGGGCTGGAACGAGCACTTTGGCCAATGTAGACACTTGAATACACTTTTGACATAAAATGAAAAAAGATCCAAATCACGCCCTGTCGGGGCCCTGTTGCTGAAGCACCATTAGGGTTAATTACAGCTCTTGAAGGGACAGACACTGTGGATGACAAGTTTAAGCAGAGACCAGATTCTCATCCAGGTTGGTCATTTCTGAATGTTTCTTGGAGACTAGAGCTTTTCAAAAGATAAAAGTTAAAGCTTTTAATTTCTCCTTCCCTACGTACCCCCTACTTACAAGCAGGGAAATGGCCTTACCAGGAAATGGGAAGGCAACATGTAGCAGTCACATTTCCAGAAGAAGGTAGGAGTTTTATCTGGGAGCTAGGACTCAGAGCAAACTGAAAGGTGTGACAGTTTATGTGTCAACTCGGCCAGGCAGTAGTAGCCGATTATTCAAACACTAACCGAGGTGCTGCTATGAAGCTATTTTGTGGATGTGGTTAACATCTACTACCATCAGTTGACTATGTAGAAGCACATTAGAAATCCTGCCATTTGCGACCACATGGACGGACCTTGATGGTATTACGTCAGACAAAAATTAACAAGAATCATATGATTTCACTTACATGTGGAATATAAAACCAAAACAAAACGAATAAACAACAAAAATAATAAAAAACAAACAGAGGCAGATAAAAGATTGGTGGTTATCGGTAAGGGGGCTGGAGGGAGGGTGAAATGGTAAAGGGAGTCAGCTGTGGTAACGGATGGAGACATTTGGTGTGGTGAGCACAGTACAGATGTCAAATTATGTTGCATGCCTGAAACTTAAATAATGCTATAAAACAATCTTACCTCAATTAAAAAAAAAAACTTAAAAAGTAAAGCACATTACCCTCCATGTTTTACCCAATCAGTCAAAGGCCTTAAGGACAAAAATGGGAGTTTCTTAGAGAAGAAATTTTGCCCTGAGACTACAGCATCAATTTCTGCCTGAGTGTCCAGGCTGCTGGCCTGCCCTATGGCTTTCAGACTTGCCAGTTCCCACAATCATGTGAGCCCAGTTCTTTAGATTAGTAAATAAATGCAAGAAATGTAAGGTATACCTTATATATCATAGGGTATATGATATGTATATGCTATCTATCTATCTATCATCTATCTATCCAGCCACCCATCGTCTCTCTCTATATCTGTCCTGTTGGTTCTGTTTCTCTTGAGAACCCTGACTGATAGAGAAGGCTGCTTCCCCACCCTCTCCCACCCCACAGTGGGAGGCTCTCAGTCTCTCTCATACATACACCATTCACAGTGCAGAATCACACATTACGGATTTATCCTGTGCATTGCAGGTGTGGGCTTGTCTAGAGCTCCTTGTTGAAATGCCAGCACTGTCCTGAACACCTGGAGAGGGAAGGAGAATGCTGAGAACAAGAGGACAGGAAAGTACCAAGAACAAACATCTTCCTGGCTCTTCCAGGACAAGATAATTAGAAGAAGCTCCAGTGATACATAGTATATTGTTTAGGACTAACTATGGCCAGAAAGTACGAGTATAGGCAGTTTTTGAGGAATTAGGTGGAGATGGGATAGATCAGGACGCAGAGGGATGCGAATCAAGTGGTTCTAGGACTTCCCTTCCTCTGCAGGGTTGATTCAGGTGCCCAGCTATGAGGATGCCTGTAGAGGGCCGTCATGTGGGGGCCTTAACCTCGCTGGTGGAAGTGGACACGATCAGCAGTCTAGAAGCCTGGCCATATGCTTCTGAACATGTAAACCACACATTCAGTGAGAGGGGGACCCGCAGGTGCTGGGGAGGAAACAGCAATGCTGCCCAAGGGCAGGCCGGCAAGGCCCCCCCCCACCCGTTCCTCAGTGATCACGTCCGCAGAGTCCTTTTCTGGCTTCACTGTCTCCGTATGGGGGTCTGGGTGGAAGATGTTCTGTGACCTCTGCCCTCTCTGCTGTGCTTGGCCTTCCTTCTCCAAAGGGTAACGCTCATTAGCTTTGAGGTCTTTTAAAAACGGGGTCCTAGTTCCCTCCCTACCGAAAGAAGATATTTGGGGCAAACCTAGATTATCTATTATTTAAGTGGTATTTCTGACACATGTTGAAACAAAGATAATGACAAAACAGATCTCCGATAATTACACCTTTAAGAATTGGCTCATTTGTGCTAAGTCTTGCTGTTAGGTTAAAAACCTAAGATTAATTAAGGTTCTTTTCCTGAGTGGCCTTTGGTTAGGTGTTTACTCAGTGTCTGCTGTGGTTGAACTGTGGAGCAGGCATTTATTTGTGCATCTTGGTGCCTCTGGTTGAAAACCTGAGGGTCTTTGGAACTGAATACCTAAGAAACTTTTGTGCTCCTTTGTGAGCGATCAGGTCACGTTGAATTAATCAAACGTCACAGTGAGACTGACCCATTGACGCATGAAGGGTATTAAATTTCCTCCCTCTTTCCATGCAGGGTCTCTTTGGGTGGCTGTGTCCCGAGACTAAAGTCTGTCACTGCTCCCACTGGGCAGCCTGCTTCTCTTAGCTCCCTGCCGCCGGGCCCCCTCAGCCTATGGGTAGTAATGGCTCCCCGTAAATAATGTGGGGTATGCATCATCTCATTATTTCCCAACACTCTCCCATACCTTTGTTAAACTCTTCCCAAATCATGCAATAGTAGTGGGCCATCAATTCTTACCAGGACCTTGACTACTGTAGGAGTGGGAGGAAAATAACTTAAAGGAACTTTGAAAATGAAGACCAGTGACACCAGGGATAGCCCTGCTGGGTCTGCTCACAGACATGCCCTTCGGCTGGACCTGTCTGAGTGTAGCTGCGAGGCTCTCCTCCTTTCGTTCTAGTGTCATTAGAAATCCTCAAGAGACTCTGGGATTTAAAAAGTGAGATTAGTAGCCTCACAGCGCACCCTTCAATGCCCACAAGCATTTTCAGCCACAGGTTACTTTCCACAGGTTACTTTTCACCTCGCTGCCGGCACCGTGGATAATGGCTAATGGATGCTGCAGGCGTGTGTGCTGTGTCTGAGGAACATCCATGGCACCGCCTGGGGGTGTTAGAGGGCGGGTGAGAGTGTGGCCGGGCACAGGCTTAATAGTACTACAACTGCTGTTGTTTTAAAAATCAGTTGAATCATGACTGGGGACCACAGCCTCAAGCTACAGTGAATGCGAGAGAGAATTACACTAATTCTTAAGTGGAGTCTTTCATTGAAATTGCTTAACTCCTCTTTTGACAGTTGGGTTATTTAGTTGTCGCTTTAGGAATTAATCTTTGGGATGACATCGGTAGCGCTGGTGAGCACTGCTAAATTTTCTTCATGGAAATAGAAATCCTGTCCAAAATGTCATTTGATGACAACAGTAATTAACCTGAATCACATCAGCTTGTGCTAACAAGTATGACAGTACAAGAACTAGTGGGAGATTAAAATGAAAAAGGCAATAGCAAATAAAACAGGATATCACATACTTTGAAATGAAGTTTTTACCTCCTTAAAAAGTAATTGCATGGACAATTTACCTTTTGATTAGACATGTCTGCTTATGTGTTCATTTATTTTTTATTTATTTTTTTACTGGAGGCCTGATGCATGACATTTGTGCAAGGGTAGGCCTTCCTTCCCCTCGCTGCCGGCACCGGCTTCCCTCTGGCACCCAGGACCCAGCTTCCCTTGCAGAGGGAGACCCTGCCCACCCACTGCAGCCTGCTGGTTGGTGGCCTGGGCCTCCATCTGCGGGCAATCATGGGGCAACGGCCGGCCCCTGCCCAATTGCATCGCACCCGCCTTGGCTGGCCTGGTGCCAGTGGGTGTCATGGCATGTTCCCGGATAGTTGTCCAGATGGTCGTTCCGCTGTTCAGCCGTTCAGTCGATTTGCATATTACGCTTTTATTATATAGGATTGATTTCAAGAGGAAGAGAGAGAGGGAGAGAAATATCAATGATGAGAGAGAATTACCGGTCAGCTGCCTCCTACATACCCCTTACTGGGGACGGAGCCAGCAACCTGGGCATGTGCCCTGACTGGGATGCCAACCATGATCTCCTGGTTTATGGGTCAACACTCAACCACTGAGCCACACCGGCCAGCCTTATGTTTTCATTCTACATGTAGCTAGTTGTCTGTCTGTTTGTTTGTTTGTGTATTCTTTAGTTTAGGCTACATCTGCCATTGCCTTTGCTCTCCCCAGTTGCTCCCTTGAGTTATTGCCCAAACATCCACTATGGCTTCCCTCCACGCCGACCCCAGCCATATGTCCTAGGAGGTCTCTAGAGTAGAAATGGCAAATTGGTGGCTTTTAGATATGTTTGTTAGTCTCACACATTATTTTGAAAAATAGTTACAAACTGAGAGACACAAATAAAAATTTCAATTTCTGACTTTTGAAAAATGGGATGACCTGGGAATAGTGGCCCTCCATTCCTCTGTGGCAAAAACTGGCTGTGATGGGGGCATGTGCCCTGCAGGGAGCCGTGGTTTCACCTGGCCAGCCGTGCTCGCTTAGTGACCCGCCTGGCCAGGGAGGTGTGTGTGACATGTGTTCAGCACATCAGGGGCGACTCCAGGTAGTGTGAGGAAGAGAAACAGTGAGTGTTATTTCGGTCTGTATATTATTGGTAAGAGAAAGTGCAGGCTCTAAGAGGCGAGAGGCCTGGTCTCATTTGTCTTGGTATGTGCCATGTTTCATACATGTTAACTGAATTGGAAGGAAGCTCTACTTAGGAAGAGGAATCTGGCAGTGGTATGAAGGTGTTTAAAGGAGAATAGTGACTATTTGAAAAAGGCTTTAACCATAAGTCAGGGCTGAGAACACAGATCAAGATGGAGACAGGGACTAGAGAAAGGTGACCCCGAGAGACAATTCCATAAAAATCCATTGGGTTCAGAGACTGACAGGAGGTAATGAGGAAAAGGAAAAGGTGCGTTTGGAGCCTGAGGAGTAAGCAGTGCCATTAATACAGCCAGGTGAGAGGGTGGTAGGTGAAAGCTGCAGGTCCCTCCTGCTCCCCAGGCCCAGTCTTTTGCCGTGAAAGGGATATATGACTGAGCTGGTGCTGATGGCTGTGCTTAGCTTTCCCCTTATGTCTCTAACCCAGGGCCAAGACCATCAAAAACACAGTCTCTGTGAACCTGGAGCTGACCGCTGAGGAGTGGAAGAAGAAATATGAGAAGGAGAAAGAGAAAAACAAGACTTTAAAGAATGTTATCCAGCATCTGGAGGTGGAGCTAAACAGGTGGAGAAACGGTGAGGCGTGGAGCGGAGGAGCGAGGCACAGTGTGTGCTGCTTTCTCCACGGCCGTTGGCATCCGGGGCACTTGGGAGAGAGCGATGATGCGGGGAGTGGGGGTTGTCCTGTCTTACAGCAACCTGCGTGACCGGCAGATGTTTTCTTGTTCCCAGCAGAGCTCCCCAGCCCACCCTGTCACTTGGCTGATGTGCGTTCTTAGGGTGGGCAAGTGACTGTTTGCAAGGTTGCCTTAATCCGTTTCCAATGAGATGCCCCTCTGTCTGTTACTGTAATTCACCCTCTGGAAGCCTGGTCTGAGGGTCAGAGGGCAGCGCCTGAGACTTTGTGGCTCAGATCGCTTTCATTAATGACAACTGTCGTTCTCGCCTATGCCAGTTCTATAATTGATTTGAGGTTAAAGTCGCCTCTGGTAAATATTTGCTTTTTTTCTTTGTCCTTTTCCCCCGTTTCATTTTCATGCTCTGCCTCTTCAGAGCCACAAATAGAAGGCTCCTGAGAGCTTGGCGCAAAAATGGAGTCTTAAAGGCTCGTTTCGTGACTCGTTTTTCTTTTTCCTCAAAACATTCTCTTTGGTTCGTTCTGCTGGAAGAAAATATCTCAGGCAGCTGACGTGCAGTGGGTGGGTGGGTTGTGGGTGAGGCGTTGAAGAGGGGTTTTCAGATCTAATTGCAGACAGATTATTTCCACTGAAATTTTAGCATCGTGATGGAAGTTCAAAGGTAGAAGTTTATTATTTTGTTTAACTGCAATAAGGCAGGTTGGTGTGTCGGGGGGTAGTGGATAGTTGGATTTTTGCTGCTGTGTTCCATGTGTGTTCGGTGCTGCGGCAGACCTCAGTGTGGGTGACTCAGAGCGGGGGCTGTGGTGCAGGTTCTCGAGGTGACCTGTCTGTTTGCCACTGCAAAGTCAGCGGCAGATCGTCTTGCGATTATAGCCAGTGCTTTTTGCTAGGGAGGGTGGGGTGTCACTGAGCCTCTGTTCAATTGAAAAGCAAAGCAGGATTCAAGAGCCATTCAAGAAATGACCCAGTAGCCTAAATAACATGATTCTTTTCTTTTGGGGAGATTTCCTAGCTGCACATGTGTTTTGAAAGCTGCTAGAATAATTGAATAATTCAGTACCTGGGCTGGTGGGTGCTTCCTTGTGATTTGGCAGGAGCAGGAGACGGGGAGGGATGGTTGGCAGAGCAGGGAGCGGCCACATTCAGTTTGGTTCTATTTCTGGGATGCTCTTGGGTCAGTTCTCTGCTGGGCGACTGGGACTCATCAAGCCTTTGGTACAGGGAGGGGGACTGGCCTCGGAAATACTGTGGAGCGGGCAACTAACCTTTTTCTGTTCTTTCCTGTCCCTTGCCAAGCTCTCACCTTTCAGTTTCCCACCCCTCAGTCAGCCTGTCCTCTGGGTCTGCCCACTGCCCTGCTTACCTGACCCGCCTCATGCCTTGCCCGCTCTCCCCCTGCTCTTGGACTTTGCATGTGGCATCAGTTTAACAGTTTGTTCCACTACCTTGTGGGTCCACTCAGAAATTTACTGTTGTCCATGCTCTGTAGGGTGAGATCCTAGATATGCCCCTAAGTTCCATAATTTGGGGAAATGAATGTATGACTGATTTCTGGCACATAGTGGACTTTTATAAATGTATGTCAAGTAAACATAGTGCAGTGCTGGAGATTAAAGTTGAGTAGTCAGACTCGGTCTCTGCCTTCACCTACCTGCTTATAGTCTGAAGGGGGAGGTAGATTCCAGCCAGAATCAGTAAGCGTGTGGTGGTTGATAGTCCATGCCAAAAGGGAAAGTCTAAGGTGCTAAAAGTTATCACAACAAGAGGCCCTAACCTTGACCGAGAAGTCAGTGAAGGTGTCCCCCAATAAGCGACATAGGGAATCAGATCCAAGAGAGACAGAGCAGTAAGCCAGGTGCAAAGAGGTGCAAGGTGGAAGTTGGGGTGAAAGTGGAGGCAGCCACGGTTACAGTGTCCCTGAGGGGTGGGGCAGGAAGGCCAGTGTGGAGAGCTAAGGTGGGAGCACTGGCTTGAGGTGGGCAGGAGGGGTAGGCAGGCCTGTCCTGTGCAGGGCGGGCAGCTCTTGTTCAGGATGTTGGTCATTATTTTGGAAGCAGCGAGAAGCCATTGAAGGATATTAAGCTGCAGATTATAGGGTGAGATTAGCCTTTTGAAGATCCATTGATTGTGTTGGAGAATGGACTGGAGAAGGTGGGAAGAGGGTCTGGAACCAGGGTGGTCATCCAGGAGGGAGATTTCAATAGCTGAATGGAGAGACAGGGCATTGGAAAGAGAGGTATTTTGGAGGTGAAATCACACAGCTAGGCGAAGAGTGGGGCTGTGTAAAGAGCATGCCAAGTCTCTGGCTTGCTGAGTTTGGTGGAGGGCAGAACCATGCACTGAGACAGGAAGCACCAGAGAACCAGGCTCTAGACCAGGGAGAGGAGTAGGGGACCGCGGGTGCCTGTGGAACATGCCAGGTTAAAATATCAAGTGAGAAGTAAGGTCTGAGAGGAGCTGCCTGAACTAGAGGGAGAAATTGGAGTGTCAACCATCCCTAGGAAGTAACTGAAGGTCCCCTGTGGACTAGGGAGAGAGGAGAGGGAAGAAGAGCAGCGGGAGGACTCCTGCCTCCTGTTACCATGGAATCCCTGAGTGGCTGTGCTGGGGGAAGGGAGCTCTGCAGAGCTCTCTTGTCCGTCAGAGCTCACACAGCATTTTAACAGCGATTTTTCTGAAAGCAAAAGTTCTTGAATGTAGACAACCAGCTCCAATAATATAACTTTCAGGCTGGTGGAGTAGTCCCTTGTCCAGCTGCGAGGGAAGGGCTATCTCAAGGATTAACCACATCACACATGCAGCAAACCCCCAGGCTTGTTGTTACAGTCCTAGGCTGGGGTGTAATCCTCAGGTGGCCCTTGTGGTTTAGACAGGTTGAAAGACTCGCCCGAGGTGACTCTGTCCCTGGGAGAGCTGGGATCCGAGCAGAGGAGCTTGACTCCTAAGTTCATCCTCTTCCCACTGTGGTGCAGCCGGCACTCTCCTCGAGGTTCGTGTTTGAGCAGCTGGATGGACCACGCCAGAGAGGAAGGGACTCCACGGTGTCCTGGGCACAGGCTCTAATGCCTTCTCACCCTGAGGGCATGGCTGGTTTGTGTCAACTAGGGAACTGGGATTTTGAAAGTGGAGTGCTTTCCACTAAAACCAAAGTGATACGATAGTTCCAACATCCTTTTGAAATTTAACACACTCGTTGGTTCTAAATTTGTGGGAGCAGCCACCAGGCTCACCTCATCGATTCCTGATACTGACATTACGCATTATGGTCTGAACAAGTTACGACCATTGTCAGTAGCACTCGCCCTTCCCCAGAGAGGAGATTTCTTTCCTTGCGTGGTGTGTTTATAATTTAAAAGTTTGGCTGCCCTGCTGTCCTCCAGCTGTAGGAAAGCGAGAGAGATGGAGTGTAGCAGAAAAGAAGGTGTGTGTGTGTGTGTGTTTTCTGTGGAGGGAGGTAGGAACACAAAGGAGCAGGAAAGGTAAAATACTCTGATGCCCCAACAGCAAACCGGGTCCAGGCAGATAATGGAAATAAGTGAAGGGAGGAAATAAGTTAGCAGTAATGGCACTGTGCTGTGCAAAGTCACTCAGGTTGAGAAATACTATCCTGTTACTGCCTTTAGGCTGTCCCTTCCACCCCCATTCTTTACCCCCTTCAACCCCTCATAGCTGAATGGGCCACTTCAGAATGCAAGCCTGGCAGTCAGCTGCTCCTCTGGGCAGAGGAGAACATGGATTCTCCGAATATGGCCTGTAATTGCAAATGTATATACGAGTCATTTCTGCCATTGCCATCAAGGCAGATGGTTCAGGGCATGTGCTTAGTGGCTTAAGGAGAGGCCACACCTTGTTTTTATAAAGAAGGAAGGGGCAAAGCCACCCACTCTCCTGGTGTCATTCCCCACTGTGCCAGTGAGGGCCCTGGGGTTGCAAGCCACAGGAATTGACCCTGGTGGGTTACACAGAAAGACAGCGCATTAGAAGGCTCTGGGTGACCCTAGAACCAACAACAGCTGAGGGACCAGCCTCACACAGTGAAGCTGGGGCTGCTGCTGAGACACAGGCAACGGGGGAAAATCGACAGGTTCATAAAGGGGTGCATGCGGTGAATCCCCGGGAATGTCATCTCCTCCGTGCATTCTGTATTCAGACCCAGGGGCCCAGGAGAGAAGGAGCTAGAGCGCGTGGTGCTGTGCTTGCCTGGGGAAGGCAGGACACAGTCTGATGCGCTGTCTGACCCAGGCCGCCCGCCTTGGAGGGGCTCATTCCTCATGAGGAAGTTGAGGCCCTGTTATGAGAATGGGGCTGAAAAACAACGCACATCCACCACTGACTGCTAGTGACATCTTGTGGGCTGAAACCTAGTGACAGTCTTCCTTCGCATCTGGAGGCTTTGGTGGCAGCTTCAGCCGCATGGAAATTTGTTCAGCTACTTGCTTAAGGACAGATAGATAACGTGGGCAGCTATCAGAAATAAGATTTTGTTGTTCATTGATCATATGTATGGGAAGGACTCGAACAATCCTAGAAATGGGGATAGATTTAGGTAGTTGGGTTCAGAGTGAATTTCGGCTCCCACTTCCCCAACCCATCAGGAAGACCACATAGGATGGGGAGGGGGGTGTTGAAGGACTGGGCGTGTGATGCTCAGAAGGGTTGGGTGGGTCTATAGCTCTCTCATTGAGAGAACTGCCAGGTTAGTTTTCACACAGGCCCTCTCCTCAGGTACGACTTTGAATCTTGCCTTTTGAAAAATGATAACTTAGGGGCTTATGCCAGAAAAGGAGGCCCTGAAATCCAGGTGTCACAGGGCCGGGAAAGGACCTGACAAGGTGGCATAACTGCAGCATCTCTTGAATAAAATATAACATTAAACAACAGAGCAGATGTAGACTTCCCCGTCTGCTGACGTCATGCAAAAATCATGTCATCACAGGCTGAGAAGGCATGGAAAAATTGGCCGTCTCCTGAGCAGATTCCTCCAGGTTTAAAACCGGCCAGGCCAGCCGGCTTGGTTCCCTAACGAGCTAAGTCTGTAACCTTGGGTCTGACTGGGGCTTTGGGAAACTGTGCGGCCCCCATGGTTGGCACACATTTAGCATTAACTACGAGGAAGGTGCGGGTCCCCTGCCTGGGTTCCTGTTTACTACAGTGGATGCTCAGAAGTTAGCATTTCACTCGAGAGGTCTGCTTTGTTAGGCACAAGAGCTTGTAGGCACACTGTTAGGCAGTGTTTGCTTGTGCCTCTTGCTTCTTTTGGGCACAAGCAAACACTGACAGAAACCCTGACCACCAGGAGAATGGTGCGGCCAATCAGGAGTCAGGACTGTAAAGAGGGTGCAGAGTCCTGGGTGACCAGCTTATTAGAAAATTTCTCTAGAAGGGATTAGAGACTGTCTTAAGCTGCTTATAATATTTTTAGGAACTAGGGTAAAAGATGGATGCTATTTGTGTGCAAAATAATCCCATAAAGGAATGATTTTTTTAAAAACCTCACATTTATATAATGGTATCTCGTGGCTAGCTGCTCTTACCTGTCTGGCAACTTAAAGATTTCCTTTCCTTTCTATATCAAAGTTTCTTTGATATAAAAATGTCCTACCACTAGGTCTGCCACTGGCCCTGTTGGTCTTAACCC